CCCCCCCCCCAAGGCCTTAGGTTGCCTACCCCTGGTGTAGTGTAATGGTTTGAGAGTTGGACTACAACTCTAAAGACCAGGGTTCAATTCCCAGCTCAGCCATGAAACCTACTGGGTGACCTTGGGTAAGTGACATGCTCTCAGCTTCAAGGGAGGGCATTGGTAAACCTCCTCTGAATAAATCTTGCCAAGAAGACCCCATGATAGGTTTGCCTTAGAGTCATTGTATGACTTGAAGACACACAACAAACACCATTTCACTACCCCACTGCATTTAATGGCTTGAGCATCCATAGATTTTGGTATCCACAGGGGCACCTGGGACCAAACCCCAGCAGATACCAAGGGCCCACTGTACATAGGGTTGTGTGTCTAAGCAAGCATACTGTACAAATATATTTAAAAAGCCAACTTCTTTGTGCTAAGTGTAGAAGCTGAGGGGCTGTCCTATTCATGTTTTAAGCATTACATCAAACACTGTAAGGGACAAATTTAAAAATGTTTAAAATAAGCCCTACCACTAGAAAGCTATCATCTAAGGTCTCCTGTCTAGTCTTGCTGTCATAAAAGTAGCTATGGGCCTTTGCAGACTGCCAGAAATAGTGCACATTAAATTGAGGCACTGCCCTGGCTCAGTGCTAGGGAATCATGGGAATTGTATTTTTTCTGAGACATTGAGCCTTCTCTGTCAGAGAGCTCTGGTGCCACAATAAATTACAGTTCCCATGATTCCCTAGCACTGAGCCAGGGCAGTGCCTCAATTTAATGTGCACTATTTCTGGCAGTCTGCAAAGGCCCTATGTTTCAGGAAGGATATTTTGACAAGGAGAATGAGTCAATCATGCAACCCTCCCAACTGAAGTCGTACTTGAACCTCCATACTTAAGACATTGTTCCTGCATCCCCAGACTATGAAATGGACTCACATTTTGAAGTTGCAAGCTCACCCAGAGCTATACCTTTCCTCAGTATATCAGCACAAGTGACATTTTATTGTTGTCAACTGCCATCAAATCATGAATGAAAGACCTCCAAGTCATACTGTCATCAACAGCCTTGCTCAGACCCTGCAGTGTGGCTTTCTTCATTGCCTCTATCCATCCGGAATGTGGTATTCCTCATTTCCTACATCTTATTACCTTCCCAGGCATTATTGCCTTTTCTTGTGAATCATGGCTTCTCATGATATGGCCAAAGTACAACACTCTCAGTTTTGTCATTTTGGTTTCTACGGAGAGTTCTGGCTTGATTTTTTATTTTTATTTTTAGCAGTCCACAGTATCCATAGAACTCTTCTCCAGCACCATATTTCAAATGAGTTCATTTTTTCCGTCAGCTTTCTTCACTGTCCAGCTTTCACAGCCATACACAGTAATGGGAAATGGTATAGCATGGACCATCCTGACTTTAGTATTCT